GACATGCGCGTTCACACTGCAGTCACTTTGAAAACATCAGATACATTATACAGTATATCTGATTTAAAACCACATACTGAAACGACCTGGGTTGGATTTAGAAAAATCGGATTTGTCGCGTTCAGACTGTCATAAAAAAATCGGATATGGGTCGGATTTGCCTGCAGTGTGAACGTAGCCTCTGTCAGACTGTACCCCTACTTCATTCTCTGTGGATATTATTTCATACCCACTAGTTCGGGGGTTTCAAATTCATTTTTACAAAAGGCCACATGAGCGTTATGATGGCCCTCAAAGGGCCAGTTGACACTTATAAACACTGAAAAGTACTACATGTACAATTGACTAAATGTGAAACAGATAATACAAAAATACTATTAAAAGTATAAGTAAGCGTTTTACTCACTGTTGAATTTTGGTCTTGAATTTTGAACTCTCCCACTTTCTGACTGGGAATTCCAGTGCATAATCTTAATGCATTATGGGAGATGTAGTTTATGACCAATGCTGGCTTTTAAGCAGCTTAGTTTGAGACTGAAGCAAATTGTTCATGGGCCAGACAAGTAATATTATCCTTCATCTTTTAACTGTTTATTTTGTTAGATTGAATAATAAATTGAAAGTTTAATATTGATATAAAAATATTTTCATTTTAAATTTAAAAGGGGGTGGGAGGGCTGGGGGGCTTTTTGGCAGGCCAAATGCAGCCCGCAGACCTTGAGTTTGACACATGGGCACTAGTTGATGCTTTGCACAAAACAGTGAACACTTTGCATGAATTGGCTACTATTTGCACATTTCTACCCTGCACCTTAACATATACTATGATCTATACTATGATTGTAATATGTGATGCTTTGTAACAAATATTTATTATTTAGTTAAAGAAGATTGTTGTACAGTTGCTGTGATAGCTCATTCTTGTTGCAGAGTTTTTGTATCATTAAACTTTGGTAGGTTTCCTCCCTTAGCTCTTCATAGGACACTGGCATCACTGTTTGACAGCTTTAACAGTCAATCATTCTACCTACCACTGTCTCTGGAGCAGGTCATGCTGTGCATGGACTGAGAGCTTGAAACCAGAACCAAGAACCCACACGGGGCTCTCCCCCTTGCCTTGTTGGGTAATGAATTTATCACTACAGTTGAAGAATACTGGAGTTCTGGTTGAGCAAGGTAGCAGAGTATCAATGGTGTGTGGCACACACTCTGATGTGACTTGGTCATTGAGAACTTGAAGCAGGATTGACCATATTGGCGTCATGCCAAGACTTGGACTGAACAAGATCCTGGAAACAACCTAAGGCTAACAGGATACCTATAGCTGCATCCTGACATGGTCTGAGAGTCAGTGGCAAGTAGGGATGGTTACCGAATTCGATACTTTTATAAGTACTGACCAAATTTTGTCGGTACTACCAAAAACCTGTTCACGTAACATCAAACGGTACCATGTTTCGGTACCTAAACGCATCATTGCGACCGTATTGGTGTAAAAGTTGTAGGAGGTGAGCTTAAGGTGAATTAAGCTTTTCCCACATCTCTCATACACAAGGTTATGAGGAAACTTTTACCAAGGTATTTCTCATTACTTGTTAATATTTTGACTGTGCGAAGTGAAAAGTGACACAATAAGTGAACGTTCAGATGAGTTCAAGTTGATTCATAAAAGACTATGCAATCATTTATTTACACAAATTAAACAGATCATAAGTTACACTTGAGTGTGGTTATTCCTATAACAAGCATCAGGGTTAAATGAGATAAAACCCGCGTCCGAATTTCAATTCACATCAACTCAGATTACTTATATAGAACAGTAAAAACGTCAGTTCTGATGTTAACAACCAAACAATTTTACTTGTAATCAGATTCTCTGTGATTTTTTTTATACCATTATAAAATCTTTAAGGCACGATAAAAGAAAAGAAGTGGTTCCACTTTTCCTGTGACAGTCATTATCATGATTTAACAAATGCATAAACATTCTTAGTTAAACACACATGAACCACGAACAGAAGAGATCTGTCCATTAAATGATTAAGAGAACTGAGAGGTTCTCTTCCACGGTTAGAATGACCTGTCATGGCCTAAACAGAGTTCAGTTTGTGACAGAGTTCCTGTCCTCTCATCAGGCCTGTGCGAGGCCTGCTTCGAGGCAGTAAATTTTGTTTCTTCACTCGAGGTGACCCCTACAGAGTAGTGAGTTTTCCATGCTTGTCCTGAACGCAGCATCGCGCAAGAGTGACGTCAGCAGCCGCTGGTTCAGTAAACAGAGTTCAGTCTGAACGTAGCTTGAAAGCCTCGCAGCTCCTGGAGTAAAACTCACTGAACAGACTGCCTACGAATTATCTGGTGGATTAATTATCTGGTGGATTAATTATCTGGTGGATTAATTATCTTGTGAACACAACGTTCGCTTGCTTAAAGTACATAAAGTACAGCCACTTTCTTTATTTCATCCGCCATTAAACAGACTGGCAGAGGAAAACAACAGAGGAGCTTCCTGACACACCAAACGCGTCTGACCTAAAGAGCACAAGCAGCCAACTTGAAGTGTTGGAGCATTTTGGATGCTCAAAATGTAGCTTGAATACCTTTTATTTATTTTAACTCCATCCTCTTTTGCTTATTTGATTTAAACTTATTTGCCTTCCATGGACCTCCATCACACAATTTTTCTAGTGGGGAAATGACATCAATAGAAACACGTGGAGCTGGATTTTAATTTGTGCAATAAGGCAAAACAGTCTTGTTGTTTTCAACAGTTTTCACCTTAAAGAAATTAATTACACAACTGATGTTACAATACAAAGAGTTGGATGTTGTCTTGATATTTGTTAATTTTATATATTGAGAAATATGTTTAAAAAAATAAAAGTTTATTATTTAAAAAAACAACAACACACAAAGTACAGAAAATTGGTACCGTTAAGTACCAGTACCCATTCCCAGGTATCAGATATTGGTACCAAATCGATTCAAATGTCAAAAGGTACCCATCTCTAGTGGCAAGATGGGTGAACAGTTTTTCTGATTGCCCAAGAAGAGCAGATAAATGTATTTGGTGAGTATTAAACACTAGCAGCATTATGACTGCCTTCACACAGAAGAACGTTTTCCAAATGTGCTGCAATCCAGCCACAAATTTGATAGGTTGTGTGTGTTGAGGACCGCACAACGGGGTCATCATCCAGTGTAAAGGGGGCCTAAAATATGGTGCTCAGCAGAGTGAGATTCTTACAGAGACTGTGGAGCTGGGTGTGTTGGTTCCATATCCAGAGGAGGGAAGGGAGGCCAACGACCATCGACGACCATCAGCCCTGTCACACAACAACAACAAACAGATTAATGACTCAAAACAAAAAGCACATGAACATCCCTGTGAGTAGAAAACATATTTATGATACAATATGAGCTTTTTCTCTGCAACATGCTCCTTTTTGGAAAGATGACTGCATTCAGATCATTAAGAGAAAACCTCTGAACCCTGAATGATCCCACTACTGTGGATGCTGCTATTTTTCATAATGAAACCAACCAGTTACTTCAAACACAAAACAGATGGCAATAGAGCTAACACTAGGTTAATGAAGAAACCTGCAAAGTTCAAATGGAACAAATTCATAAATGAGGACATTAAACTTCACAGAAATGAATGTGAGGTTGGTGACTACGGACAAGTAAAGACCCAACTTGAAGTTACCTGTCTGTTCTGTGGCAATGACTGTGGATTACACAAAAAATAATTGTGTTGAAAAATGGAACAAAAAAATGTTTGCTGTTCTTGAAACAGACATTCATTCATATGCTGGCAAAGAAAATAGTTGTGTTTATTGACTGAACATCTACGTTTGTTTTTCAAGCTGTATCTCCATCTCAGGTCAGGTTACCTTCGTGCAAAGGAGAAATGAGCAGAGGCGCTGGGAGAGAAGTTTCTAGGGCTGTCCTGTGGGCTTGTTCCTGTAGGAAAAGAGAAGGATAAAAAATTCAGAGACAAGAACAACTTGCAATCAAAGCAACAAATGAATTAAATTGCAGTTTCAAATGGAACCAAAAACTGTTGACTGTTGCACAGATGAACCACATTAGCCCACAAAAACTGGAAAAACTGAAAATAATAATAGCAACAATAATAACAATAGTAATAATGATGATGATGATGATTGTTTGCACAGCTGCAGGTAATTCCTGCTTGATTAGAGCATGAACAAAATGCTTAGTCAAAAGCAAGTTGACAAATCAAATACTTCCCTTTAAATTATTCAGGGTAAAAAAAATAAATGCTAGACTACAATGTAAAGGGAAAAAAACATTTAAGATAAAGATCCAGATAATACCTGCTCACTTTAATGACTTAAAACTGTAAGAAATAGATATTTGTAAATATTTTAGACACAACAAATAAAATCATAATTTATGTTTTGTTTAGATCTCTAGGTTTTTTTTAAAATCTGAATTAAAGTTTCTTTTCCATGACTAAACCACAGTGAAGCAGTCAGATATTATGACTGTTTAGGCCAATATTTAAACAAATATTAATTGCTTGAACTCAGACATGATTTTTTAAAGTCCAGTACTGTAACACCACTATGACATTTAAAAAAATTGCCAGAACATGGATGGTCTTTATAGAGCCTGGTGAGGTCTGATAGGTCGATTGTCATTTTAAGCATGCACAAAACAACTTTAGTACACACTAAGGATGGTTGTTGAACAGTACAAGCAGAACTGCCAGCTTCATGCTAAAGCTATCAGCATCATGCCAGCATGGAGTCCTGTTCCAGTGTGTCTCTGCATGCAGATGCAGTCTAAGAAAGATGAGCTAAGACGGGTCCAGGAGTGGTCCTTGGATGTTTATGGTTATATCGTGAGAACATGCTGCTTACATATAATGTGTGGTGACATAACATGATTTTTTATTTTCTTTTGTGGATGCAGATAATAGCAGGAAAAAACTGTCAAAGACCAAGTGTCGCAAAGTCATGATTGTTTTCATATTGAAAGAAGTTTTTCGAATTAGCTGTGGTCCGTTTGTGAAGGTCTCCATGTAAGCTTTAGAGGCGGGAGAGATTCCTGCATAAAGGGGTTTATATAACCTATTAGTTTTCCCTTCATGCTGCAGTAATGTGGCCATATTTGATAACAGAGGAGCTGAACTAATTTGATACTTTAATGCTCATCATTTTTTACTCAGTTTATCACACTTATATAAGTGTAACTTCTTCAATAAATCCTCTTAAATGTTTACATTTTCTAGATTTTATTTATTTTCATTTTATTTTTATTTTTAGTGCATGAATTTTTGACTTTGAAAAGGTATTTGGGTGATTTGGGTGACAGCTGATTGATAGCATTGCTGTTGCAATGGGATGCCAGTTATTCTCTTTGTATGCATATACACACGGTCACATCACTCTGTGCTGTCAGATCAGTGTGACAGCACGTCTGCTGAGACTTCTGTAAATAATCACAACGTAATAGGAGGTCCTAGAATGAGGAACACAACACACTGCATTCAGACTACCATACCAGATGGATGTGGATAAAAGGGTCCAAGACCAAGCTCTAATGTGATCTGAGTAAAAATGTTTTCAATGTACACCCAGGTCATTCACACTTGTTTTTACCATCCATCCATCCATCCATCCATCCATCCATCCATCCATCCATCCATTTTCTTCTGCCTATCCGGGGTCGGGTCGCGGGGGCAGCAGCTTCAGAAGGGAGGCCCAGACCTCCCTCTCCCCAGCCACTTCTTCCAGCTCCTCCGGGGGAACTCCAAGGTGTTCCCAGGCCAGCCGAGAGACAAAGTCCCTCCAGCGTGTCCTGGGTCTTCCTCGGGGCCTCCTCCCGGTGGGACGTGCCCGGAATACCTCACCAGGGAGGCGTCCAGGAGGCTTCCTTACCAGATGCCCGAGCAACCTCAACTGGCTCCTCTCGACGTGGAGGAGCAGCGGCTCTACTCTGAGTCCCTCCCGGATGACCGAGCTTCTCACCCTATCTCTAAGGGAGAGCCCAGCCACCCTGCAGAGGAAACCCATTTCGGCCGCTTGTATCCGGGACCTCGTTCTTTCGGTCATGACCCAAAGCTCATGACCATAGATGAGGGTAGGAACGTAGATCGACAGGTAAATCGAGAGCTTTGCTTTCTGACTCAGCTCTCTCTTCACCACGACGGACCGGTACAGCGCCCGCTTTAACAGCAGACGCTGCGCCAATCCGCCTGTCGATCTCCCGCTCCCTTCTTCCCCCATTCGTGAACAAGATCCCCAGATACTTAAACTCCTCCACTTGAGGCAGGACGACCTCCCTTGACCCAGAGAAGGCACTCTACCCTTTTCCGGCTCAAGACCATGGCCTCGGATTTGGAGGCACTGAGCCTCATCCGGGCCACTTCGCACTCGGCCGCGAACCGCTCCAGCGAGAGCTGCAGATCTCGTTCCGATGAAGCCAACAGGACCACATCATACGCAAAAAGCAGAGATGCGATCCTAAGGCCACCAAAACGGATCCCCTCAACACCTCGGCTGCACCTAGAAATTCTGTCCATGAAAGTAATGAACAGAATCGGTGACAAAGGGCAGCCTTGGCGGAGTTCAACACTCACCGGAAACGAGCCCGACTTACTGCTGGCAATGCGGACCAGACTCTGACACCGGTCGTACAAGGACCTGACAGCCCATATCAAAGGGCCTGGTACCCCATACTCAAGGAGAACCCCTCACAAGGCCCCCCTTGGGACACGGTCGAACGCCTTCTCCAAGTCCACAAAACACATGTAGACCGGTTGGGCGAACTCCCATGCACCCTCCAGGACCCTGCTGAGGGTGTAGAGCTGGTCCAGTGTTCCACAACCAGGACGAAAACCACACTGCTCTTCCTGAATCCAAGGTTCGACTATCCGACGGACCCTCCTCTCCAGGACCCCTGAATAGACCTTACCAGGTAGGCTTAAGAGTGTGACCCCCCTGTAATTGGAGCACACCCTCTGGTCACTTGTTTTTACCACTATCCAAATATATCCAGATATTGAAGAAACCTTTCAGAACCAGGCTTAAGTCAACTGTGATTAAAAATTAAGGTATTTTTTTCTTTTGATCAGTTTCCACCATTCAGATTGGTAGAAAAGCAACAATAAGGCAGAATTCCTTCACTTTTGCTGTAAGCCAACATTTTCTTGCTAAAAAGGTTTTGTCCATTTGACCAACTCAAAATAAAATGCAGAAATTAGCGCTGCTATTTTCAGTTTTTTTTTTAATATATAAATGTGCACACTCATATGACAATTATATCCCTAACTGGGGGAGGAACCCAACAACTGACCCATAATTAGAATCCCACCACCTACTGTGACGATGAATAAGCTTCAGTGATTAATGACACCATTTAAATGCACTGCAGTCAGGAAGTCTTCAAGATTATAACACCCTCCTTTGAAGCTGAACTGCTTCTGAAGAGACATTTCTACTGATTGTCATTGTATTCTATAACATGCAGGTGGTATTAATGATGATCACAAAACTGATCTGCTTCAGCAGACCTTTGGGAATCATTCATTTTCATTCTGTCACCGTGCTTTTCTAGCCCCATAGAAAACACATTTTTCTTACCTTTGGAACAAATGTTGCGTCTAAACCAGAGTGTCAGGTCATCCCATGGCTGAACACATTCATTATTCAGACCACTGAGGCTTTCAGAGCATGAATCCATCTTAAAGTCTGATAACAGACTAAACACAGAGTCATGGCTCTGCTTTCGCCAGGAAATAAAACGCCCTGTGGTAAATGACCCCATACAGCCCCCCTCCCCTCCTGCTATTGCATTTCCTTTCTGCAGGCCACCATTTCCTCACACAAAACAATCACAACCTTTACATCTGTTCAAATCTCAGCCACAAATCTCATGTGACAATAAAAATGTACAATACAATCACAGGTCAGACAAAAACAAGACAACATGTAATAACAGGGTCAGGCAAGAATACTTAATGTTTAAAATGTTACACTTTACTGTATTTTTTCTCTACCTGGTAAATTTAAGGAACATGAAAGGCCTAGCAATCCTTGAAGAAATGCGTATTGCCCACCACATTTCATATCTGAGTTTATGATTTAGATCCTCTTATGACAAATGAGAGTTTTGGTCATTTTGATCAAACTTTGAAATTAACACTATAAACAATCTCACGCAACATTGTGATATATCACATGATCTCCATCCACCCATTCATCTTCTTTATTCTCTTTACTTTTCAAACAACACACAGTTTTACTCACACCTATAGAGACAATCTAGTTCAGGGGTTCTGAACCTTTTTGACCTCGGGGCCCAATTTATTGAACATAAAGTGTCACGAGGCCCAGTCAGACATTACCAATGTATGGATCAAAAATGATAATTATTCTAAATCTTGGTTTAATTTTTATTGTATTTACATTATAACAAAATTAAATACACTTCCATTTTAAAAGTAAAACTCCTGTCAAATAATCACAAGACATGATTATGACAAACATTTTTATATTGTAACCTGCCCATAACAATTATTTGAACAAATACAAAGGTCAGTCAACAGACCACTCAGGCTTATCAACACATTTATATATATATATATATACAGTATATATATGTGTGTGTGTGTGTGTGTGTGCGTGCGTGCGTGTATACATATACATACACATATACATACATACATACATACATACAGGTATATATACTGTATATTTCTTAATATAAACAATAACAAAAATAGACAATTCAATAAAAACAATTGTGGGCATAAAATAAATAAATTAAAAATGTTTAAATGTTTAAAATGAAAAAAAAACTGTAAAACTAAATTTGATAAAGTACAAATGAAAATATATCCTTTTTAAACTTTTGCATGGTAGAAACAGAAGCTGCTGTTCATATTGGTGACAAACAATAACAGTAACAGCTTTTTAAAGTTTCTTTAAAATACATTAAAATATTAAACAATAAACTACAAAAATCAATTTGATGAAGTGCAAATTAAAATATAGCTGTATCTGTTATGTATTTGATAATGTTTTGAACTTTTAAAATACTGCATGATAAAAACAGAAGCTGTACTTCATATTAGTGACAAACTTTGGTGTTTTTTGACGTGTTGCCTTCATTTTTGCTTCTACTTTTCATTTAAAATACATTTTAATTTTCGGCAGGTTTCTAAGGTTCTTTTTCTACATATTAAAAAAGTTGTTAAACATCTGAGTGGTGCACTACTGCCACTCGTGGTGAGAAAGTGTATTGCACCTTATTCAAAATCAATGCGGTCCCACGGCCCTCTGCGGCCCAAAGTTAAAAACTGTTGTTCTTTTGAGGCCCTGAAGGTGGCGCTTGTGGCCCACAATTGGGCCGTAGCCCAAAGGTTAAGAATCTCTGATCTAGTTCATAGTTAACCTAACATGTTTGTTTTTGGTCTGAGGAAACCAAGTACCCAACTCACATATGCAGAGAACATGCAAATAGCATGATCTTGTATGATCCATTAGAAATAAAAATGTGTTGTGAAGGATTCTCAGCTACGGCCAAACTAAACTTCAGCACAAAAATATTTAGCACTAAAGACAAATATAAATACAAGCAGACTCAAGCAAAAACAAACCCTTGCTTTTAGCAGCAGGAAATATTCTGGGTGCAGAGAGGAGCTTACATTTGGATGCTGAAGTTGCTACACTGAGCATTTTCCCATGCTGTTTTATTTCAATAGTTTTGTTTTGGTATGCATTCGATATGGAACAGAAAGTTGTGCATTACCAGAACACCCAGTGGGTATGTTTCCAAAGCTACAGAAATGAGATCCAAACACAGACAACATGAACTCACCTGCCAGAGATGAAAGCGGAGAGTGAGGTCGAGGTAAACCTGACGACTGGCCACTTCCAATCAGGCTTTTTCTGTTGCTTGTTCTACAGCTGAAAAACCACACAGGCACATATTAAACAGAGAAAGAAGCAATGTAAAATAAACAAAACATAAAGTAAAATAAAGCACTACGTCAACTGGTCCCAATAAAACAAGATTTTACAAAAGACTTCAAAGCTAAGATGACATTTTAAACCTCCAGTTGTGTAATTAATAATTGTAAAGCTACTGAACCATGCAGTCCACAGAGCTTCACCTCAGTATGAAGTAGAGGTTCAGTTCATTAGATGCTGAAGTGGAAAACACTTTAAATACAAACTGTAAAACTAAAATCCAAAAAGAAGATGGACCAGAGAAAAGAAGCCAAAGCAGGAATTACATGATCTTAATTTACTAAGCAGTTTAAAAACACGACACAACCTTCTGGATCTGCTGTGAACATCATGAATCAATGTAAGTTAGGATTTGGTGACATGAAGGCCTCTAGTTCAGCACAACGAAGGGAAGCTTCATTTATAATTCCTCTAGTGAGGTGTGACCGTTGAGGCCGACACTTTAGTTCCATGATTCTGAATAGTTTTGACAATAAGCTCAAAATTACGTAAGTTCATCTTAAACTCGCTGAGGAAATCTGTAAAACATCCAACACTTAATTTCAGAGGCTTCACTTAATCTGCTCTTAGACTGGGTTCAATAAATCAGTAGTTTAAAAAATATATTAAACTGTGTACACATCTGGGGCCTCGTGCATAAAGGATTGCGCAGCTTTCACACTAAAAGTTGACGTACGGACAAATTTAGAAATGTGCGCCGCACCAAAATATTCAGATGTATAAAACCATGCGTAAGCAGGTTCCTGCACAGCTTTCCTTTATACATCCCAATGAACGTGGAACTGAGCGCACGTGAGACGCCTCCCCTGACACTCCTCCATTTAAATCTGTAAAATAGATGTAAATGTGTCCAGTGTGTGAGATTCTCCTCAGATTGTCCTCTGTGGGATCAGAAATGATTTTTTTAGACGCAGGGAAATTATACATTAAACGGAGAATGAGTGAGAAAACTGTCTAAATAAATAGTGAGGTGACATTGTTTTATGAGGTGCATTCGCACGGCATAACCAAAGCCTGAGATTTTCCTGAAATTTACAGACATCTCCCGAATGTGATATTGAAGTCTGGTTAGTTGTTGTCTATTTAGTTGAACACGGCATTGAACGGATGTTTAAAAAAATGAAAAAAAAAAAAAGAAATGAATAAAACAATAAACATTTCGTTATCCACTTTTTCCTCTCTCCTTTCCTCCTGCATTACAGCAGGTGCTGTCATCTCCACAGACAGACCCCCACGAGCGGGTACGCGTGGTAGCCTTTGGATTTTTAGCAAAAATTATAGATTTTTGAGGCTCATTAGACAGGTAAATGTCCAAAGGGGTTGACATATATGAACACCTTCCCAGCTGGTGAGGGTGCACGCGCCTGGCACGAGAATCTACCCAAAGCGCAGCTGCTGCGCTACGGCCACAACTCAGCTCAGCATCAGCCGGAAGGCAACAAACAGAAAAAATAATTATTCTTACCGTACAGTGAGCCACCATTTGCATCTGATTTTTCTCCCTCTCTTCAGCCTTTTTTATTTTATTTATTTATTTTATGCCGCACGTAATGTGTCGGGTTTTTCCGTCCCGGGACCCAAAAGGTTTTCAACTACGTGACAAAAATATAAAAACAGTTTACAGACTGGACTGAGGCTCTTTTGATCATTTTTAAACGGATCTATTTTCTTCTCTGAGGTTAAATGATTTTCAGTCCCGGGGTTCAGTTTCATGATCGTTCGAGTTTAAACAATAAAAACTCAAACTAAAATAAAAACCTAACAGTGTTCAGACGCTCCTTACATCCAGAAAACACAACAGAGACACATTTCTGTGGATTCAGGTCAGATTTGTGACTTTCTGAGTTAAAACTGTCGACTGAAAAACTTTGCGTGGCTACCGCACATTCTCACGGCAGGTGAAAAGTGTGCGTAAATATACGTACACTTACACGCAACGTTGGTTTTTATACATCACAATGTGGGCGTAGAACCTGGCGCACGCAACTTTTTTATGGGTACGCACCGTTTACACATGAGGCCCCTGCTCCTGTAGCATCTAGGATTTAAGATAGGTCATTAAAAATGACTAAATCTTCAAAAATAGATATGAATGTCATCAAATAGGATAACTGTCATAAAGAAAATTGGCACCAAAGTCATTGCATTCATTGTATGATAATCATTTTTACTTCCTTACAATAACAGGAAGCTGACAGCCCTTTAACAACCTGTCTTAAGTTGTAACTAAGATCAAAGAAACACAGTATAAACTTCATCTCCACATGTAATTGCTTTGCATTACATCATATTTTAAGGACTCAAGTTTTATTAATTGATCACTGTAAGAAAATCCAGGCTAAACTAATAAAAAATATCACTTTTCACCACATCTCTGTTTATTAATAATAGATTTAGCTATCTTTAAATAAGACGTTGTAAGATATCTTATTCTCAACTATATATGTCACATATCTGGCTTTTGTTTCCTAAAAAGGTACACTTTTACACTGTTGTCAGTTTTACGTTACACTGTTAGTACCACGGAATTATTTTCTGTCAAATTAAACCAAATTTTCTTCTGTTAATTACAAGCGCAATCAGCAGTAGCAGGTAGCTGCAGCACTTCTTGTGCAGTTCAAGGTCCCTTCCTGTGGGAATTTCATGCTTTTCTGCCAAAACACTCTTGATGTTAAATCATTGGCAGTTTAAAGTTTTATAAAACAGAATAAGAATAAAACACTATCAAAGTTTTGGCATTTCAGTTTTTTAAATAGTAAACCCACTTTTGACAGTGAGTCTGCTCGGACTATCCTTTCTCAGTTTGTTAAAGTCCAAGCTCACTCACTTCCAAAGAGGATTTTGTTCTTTTAAAATAACCCTCTGCAAAATTTCAGTTTTTCATTAAATCAATCTTCTAACATGGTCAGGTTGCAGAGGCATCAGATTCAGGAGAGACACAAAGACATCCCTCTACAGCTCTTTCTGGGGGATCCCAAGGTGTTCCCAGACCAGAGAGGACTCCCTTTCCAGCCTAACGATCACAGTTCATGTTAAGGTCTTAGGCCCGAAGACACCAACAGAAACAAATCTTCTGCAAAAAGCCATGATGAGACCCTGAGGTTCCCAAACCAGACTGCCTCTCTTCTCCATGGCTGTGCATTGGGATCCTATCCATAGTGTTGTAGTACTTGAAACCGGTCTTGGTCTTAAGACCAGTCTCAAGACCACTTTTTTGATGGTCTTGGCCTTGTCTCGGACTCGACAGTATTTGTACTCGGTCTTGTCTTGGGTCTCGGACATTGAGGACTTGGAATTTTATTTCAAGACCAGTTAAGACCACAACTGTGGAAATATCAGTAAATAGCCAGATTATTGTCCAATTTATTTGTTAACAATCTTGCTTTCATTGCTACTGATTCAAATCCAAACCTGACTCATTGCTATTTATGTATTTTTGTTACTGGCTGTCACCCATCCCCACTCTCTTCACTCACACATAGCACTCCAGGAAAGTGAACCGTGGTTCTCTGGGAGCGGTAAAAGATGTCTTCAAATTTTTAAGTATAAAATTTGGCTACATTATTCATAAATAATATCATTGTAAAACACCAGGAGAAAGCGTACAGCAACTTGTACATTCAGCAGTGCTTTACTTTCAGAGACAATGGGGACAACTTCAAACTTGTATTGTCACTAATGTTAACAATCTGCCTCTGTAGCACAATTCTTTCCTCTACTCTCAAAGAGTTTGTCAATATTAGCTCTACATATTAAGTTAGCTACAGTGGGGAGAAAACGTATTTATTCAGCACCAATTGTTCAAGTTCTCCCACTTAAAAAGATGAGAGAGGCCTGTGATTGACATCACAATTAGACCTCAACTACAAGAGACTAAATACTTTTCCCCTACTCTACATGTGTACAGAATACTCCATCTTTTAAGACACTTCTAAAATCTGGTCTTGGTCTTGTCTCGGTCTCGAGACACTGTGGTCTTGGTCTTGACTTGGTCTCGGGTTATGTGGTCTTGACTACAACACTACCTAATGGATAGGTAGTACCTATCCATAAAGACCAAAAACAGGACTGAAGAGCAGTGTCATCCCTGGTGGAGTCCAACTCATACTAAGAACAAGCTTGACTTTGTGCCAAGGATGTAGACACAACTCATCATTTGGTTACACAAGGATCAGATAAGTAAGTAAGTAAGTAAATGTTATTTCTATGGCACCTTTCACAGACACAAACATCACAAAGTGCTTCACATAAAGCAATAAATAATTAAAAACAATAAAACAGATCACAGATATAAAAACAACAATTGAAACACAATAAAAAGCACTTAACTAAAAGCCTGTCTGAATAAAAATGTCTTAAGATGTTTCTTAAAAGAGTCAGTAGAATCTGAACAGTGAAGGGACAGAGGGAGAGCGTTCCAGAGCCTCGGGGCCACCACCTGAAAAGCTTTGTCTCCACTGGTTTTATAATGGGTTCCAGGGACCATCAGCAGCATTTGATTAGAAGACCTCAAAGTCCTGGATGGACAGAGAGGCTTCAGAAGGTCCACTATGTATTTGGGGGCCTGACCATGAAGTGCTCTGAAAGTTAAAACTAAAATTTTAAAATGACTCCTCAAAGTCACAGGGAGCCAGTGCAGAGAGGCTAAAACAGGTGTAATGTGGGCTCTGCTGTGGGTCTTTGTTAATAAGCTCGCTGCAGCGTTCTGCACAGACTGAAGCCCAGTCAAGGAGGATTTGTTTAGACATGTAAAAAGACTGTTGCAGTAATCTAAACGAGAAGAAATAAAAGCATGAACAACCATCTCTAGTTCCTTCTGTGACACAAAAGATCTCAGCTTTGAAATGTTCCTTAAATGATAAAAACAGTTACGAACTTAAATTTTACAATGGCTGTCAAAAGACATAGAGCTATCAAAGACAACACCCAGATTTCTG